GAACCAACTTGTGGCGTCGAATATACCAGACAATAGAGAATGAGCTTCCCAGGAATATCAATTTCATCACGGTGTTATAAAATGAGACATAATGAGTGAATATGTCTAAGTAGCGAGTGGCAAAAACAAGAGCATAGAGTTCCTGAGTCTTTAGAGAAATGCCTGCAAATAACACAGGGAAGTCAAAAGTCTATGACTAACAATTTGAAAGAGAGAACTCCTACTTCACAGAGCTATTAAAAGGTCAAAAGAGGATGTGTCTGGTTGAATGAAAAGGCTCACAAACCCATTCGTTTGGCTATTAATTATGCAACACGATAATTTAGATATGTGTTTGGGTGTGCATGACAACATGGGGCAAAACACTGTTACTTGCAAAATCCTGTTTTAAAAGCATGACCAACATGTATAGCAACCTCTTTAGAAGAATTCCTCAGTCTAACCACACAAGCACAATCATGATCGAGCTAGGAAATGGCTCCAGGGAGTAGGTGACTTAATAACTCAACCCATCCACTCCTAGTGAAAACAAGAAAGCAAGAAAAACCATTTTGAATCATATTGCTAGTTCTGTCAGATGGTCCTCAACGAGCAATTTATTCCATCATAACCATTTTGAATCATATTGCTAGTTCTGTCAGATGGACCTCAACCAGCAATTTATTCCATCATAGCAACCTACAATTAAAGCATAGTTCAGTTGCCAAACTCTGATATTTTTCCTATTTGATGTATCCCTCAAGAGGAAGAAATTTCTTAACATCTTTTGCAATCTTATGTATGAAAACAAGAGGACAGGAAGACATACCAAACAAGCATACCAACAATAACCAGCTATTTCATCGCTAAAACTCAGCAAAATTATGTGCAGACATACAATTGAGTTCGAAATGTCGACTAAAACAAAATTCAATCAAAAGAAGGTTTGTTGCTCACTGTAGCAAAACAAAATGAACGTTATCACTGATAAGCAAAACATCTTCCGACCATCACCTTCACCCTACTGCTTTCAAACCACACTGCAATTACCTGAATCAATATGTAATTCTGCCATGGCAATACATTTTCATGACCTCTCTTAAATCTCAAGCTATTCCAATCTGATGACCTTCTTTCTCTTTCACATTGAAATAAAAACATCTCACTTCATTTCACTGTTTATCTCATGCCATATCTTCTTCAACTACCCCTGCTATTACTAGATTCAGTCTAAGATTACACTCAGGGACGACATAGTCCCATGTCATCACAATTTTTCAATTGTTTCTAGTTACAGTTTTACTTGCATTGAAGCCCTAAATGCTATCATACAAAAACTTTGCTAAACATTACATAAACATCAGGAAATAACGTTCACAAACTGAAATTCTTTCAATTACGAAGCTCAATGCATATTCCCTACGGAAAAGCTGCTTGTAATAGAGGGTTAAACTATTTTCTCTATGTTCGTAAGCTGTTATTAATCATTCATTCTAATACATTCTCTCTCTAATATACCATACACCTACACCACCAACATGATAAAAACTATTCATATTATCTAACCAACAGAAGACATCACCAAAAGAATTCATAAAATGCATTCAAATCAAGCACAATACTCCTCTCCTTATCTCTCTATTAACCAAAAAAAGAACCCATTTTGAGTCAATAAAACCAAACAAAATCCCCTAACTACTTTCACCTACAATAACCCATTTCACCGAAATACAAACCCATCTTGAAAAAAAAGCAGAAACCCATTTACCGTATAAAGATGCAAACTTTATAGCAAAATACACACTTTAAAGCAAACCCGTTAACCAAAACGCACCCAAAAACAGAAAAAATCAAAACTTCTAATACATACCGGCACATGATTTGATGGTGTGGATCTTAAGGAGCAAAACAAGAACACTAGCCAGATGGGTCATGTCCCCTACTAATCTGAATATATTCATTATTTTTCTTTATATATATTTGTATATAAAGTAGTGGGGTTTTCTTTTTCTGGGTTTTGTTTGGATCAAACGGATAATGTTCTGTGTTCAAAGATCTGCTGCAGCTCCTGTTTTTTGCAGATCTCTCCGATTGTCTTACGAGAGAGAGAATTTTTTGGCCTTTTTTTATTTTATTTTTTTATTAACTAATTTAATTTAATTTTATGGTAATATAATTTTAATGGGCCTAGGACTATTACAAACATGGGCCGGACATTGATGGGCCTATC